GTTCTATTTTGTTCGGATGGATAGACTAGATCATGGCGGGGAGGGCGAGGGTGTCGGTTATGTGATTTGTCTATCTCGAGCAAGTGTTGATCTTTCGCTGTTGCGAAGGGTGCTGAGAGGGGGGGAGAAACAAGCGCGAATATCGACGACCATATCACTTCAGCTTGTATGCTGTGGCGTTACGGGGAAATATACTGCTGTTTCGGGGCAATAAGTGTCGTTTCGGGGTAATTTAGGAGTATTTTCCCCCCCAAAACGGCCCCTTTCACAAAACAAATAAACGAGCCCCCTAAATTTTCCGTCTACAACTTCCCAACATAACATACAGACTCCCCCCGTCCCTGGGTAGGCCGAGGTTCCGCAAGTGGATCTAGACCTCGTAAGACCACCCAGCAACGACGGATATACGGTCCCTAGCACTGTTTAGAGGGGCATCCTGAGTTTGGCGCGTGGGAGTTACTGCTGTCGTGAGATCGGGGTAGCTCCTGGGCCGCCACTTTGGTAGCTGCAAAATGAGACTGGATCCTGCCGCCCCGGCTTGGATACCGGGGCTATGCAGCAGCAGAGGGCACGGTGAGGGTGGCGGAGTGACCGCACGCCGTGGGGGTATGCCCCAGAGAGAGGAAAGGAGAGAGTCCAGAGATGGAGGGCCACACCGCTCCGGGACAAGAAGACAACTCTATGGGAAACAAGGCAAGAACCGGGGTAACTATCACGTTAGCACGAGTCTTCGCAAGACAATCGTAAAAAAACAAAAAAAGAGGGGAAGATGGAGGAAAAGGAGGGGTCGGGCGGCGCGTAGGCTAGCTAAGAGAGCAGCGCGCGCCGCGCGAAAGAGACAGCAGGGTCAACTTCTTAGGGTAGCAACCTGGAATGTGCGGACTTTGGCTGTAAACGGGGCCAATGGATACGGGCGAGCCTACAGCGTTCTACACGAGGCAGCGAGACAAGACGTATCGGTGGTAGGAATGCAGGAGACACGGAGGGCAGGTCGAACGGAATTTGCAGCAGCGGGTTTTCGGGTGTTCTGTGGCACGGAGACTGGTTGAGTTCATGGTGTGGGGATAGCCGTCAAAGAGTCACTGTGCAAGACACCCACGTTCACTACGGAGTTTATCGACGAACGCCTTAGGGCCATGAGGTTTCTGTTGGCAGGCCACCGTGGAG